GTGGTAGGATATCGTTGCATTAAAAAATTGAATGACTTCATAAAAGTTCAAAAAGACAAAAATAATTGCCCCACGAATTCTAACGTTATTTATAAATTGAATTGCAACGATTGTGATGCCACATACGTCGGACAGACAAAAAGACAGTTAGGAACGAGACTTAAAGAACATAAAAATAATATTAAATTAGACTCTGCTAGACATTCGGTTGTCACTGAACACATTCTAAACGAACAACATACATTGACTGGGACAATATTAAAATATGGATCATGAAAAGAATTACCATAAAAGACTAATATCTGAAATGATCCACATTAAAGAACAGAAAAATGGAATTAATTTAAATAAAGACACCGAGTTGTTAGACAGTAGTTATTTTGACATACTTAAAAATTTGCTGAATCATAATTTAGAAAAAACATTGGTAATAAATAAATACATCACGCTCTCTATTTTGACATTTGGTATTCAGACTTCGCAACACACACTTGAAATATCGGGAAAAAGGACTTGTTAAAACGATAATGTAAGTTGAAAGATTTTTTAATTTTCTCTAACATTGATTTAATTTGCGTATTATATCCGCAGCATGTTTAAATATCGCATAACTTGGCATCTCAGACCAATCGCCTTGCATATCTATTGGTCAACAGCGAAGAATCGTTTTAATTTTATATTTTAATATTTAACTAACTTTGTATTTTTAACATTTAACTTTGTATTTTAATATTTAACTTTTATGTATTGATAAAGACTGTAGTGCAGTCGAAACGTTTACAATTTATATCGATTCTGTAACGGAATGTTATTTTAATTATTTAACTATTAATAAATTTTTACACCTTATTTATTTGCTCGTTTAGTTGGCCTACTATATTTGATTTGTTTAATTTTGTCAATTTTATTGTGTTCAACATATTATATTTTTTTAGACAACATAATATATTTTTACTGTTGAATCATCTCGCACACGCGTTTTTATCTAAGCGTGTCAATGACAGTAAAACATACACATAATTGTATCTTTATTACATAGTTTGAACACAATAATATATATATATATATATATATATATATATTGTTTTTTTTTGCTTATATATTTACATGCAATTCTTATATATATAATATATATCATTCACATGTGTGTGTATAAATATATTTACTGAATGTTCTAAATAAAACGTTACAATTTTTTATTTCTAAAAGTATAATTTTTAGAAAATAATACTGCAAATAAAAGTTTCAGCATTTCAACGGAGATATATATACTTTGATGTTACAGAAATATTTGTAGAAGGCAATTTTCAAGATAATTATTTTATATTGATTAGTCTAAGTATTTATGTAAATTGATTTTTTCCTTGTAACATATTCTGCATACAGGGTAAAAGTCAATAATTGAACGAGATATTTTACATAATCTAACATATTTTGATAAAAAAATTAAAAAATATTTTGTAAATAAAATATTTAGTGTTCGATGATACTTTTATGTATAGAATAATTATAGACAAATAAAAAAAGATACATAGTAAAAAAAATATACAATTTGCTACATGCAGATATATATTTTTTTTGTTTGTTGTTTATACCAATTGTTTCGTCTAATTATTCTATACATGAAAGCAAGACTATTGAAAACTAAATATTTTACGAGATATTTTGTACTTTATATCAAAAATATGTCAGATTATGTGAAATATCTCGGAAACTGTTCAATTCTTGGCTACATTTTCTCATATTTTTATGCAGAATATTACAAAAAATCTATTTACATAAATGCTTAGAATAATTCTATATAAAATAATTAAATTGACTAAATAAATAAGCTTGAAAATTGCCTCTTACAAACATTTCTATGACATCAACTATGCCCCCCTCGAGATATTAAAACTTTTATTTGAAACATTTTTTTCTACATTTTTAGAGATAAAAATTTGTAACGCTTATTTAAACACCCGGTACATATTCTGGGACTTAACGACGCGTCTGTCTCTTAGCAACGCGTCTCAAACGGAAAAGACATGGAAAGACTACAGTGCAAGTTATGCGATTGAGTTGTAAGCTTTCTAGACGCGTTGTTTTTTGCGACTTTATCAATTGAAACCATAATTAATTACTTCTCGAAATTACTGACCAATTATGGCAATGATAACTTCAGAAAAAGCTGCTCAAGTTGTTGCTTTAATTAAAGATGGCAGAAGTCAAAGATACATTGCTGAGGCACTTGATTTGTCGGCATCAACTGTGCAACGTGCTTATGCCAGGTACTTAAACACCAATTCTTTCAAGAAAAGACCTGGTTCTGGACGCCCTCGATGTACCAATGAAAATGATGACCGATTTATTGTTTTAAATTCGTTAAGAGACAGACATCGAACAGCCAAATTCGAAACAATTTAAGGAATGTCCACCATTGTAATGTATCCGTTGACATCGTTCAGAGAAGATTAGCGCAACAAAATCTGTTTTCGCGCAGACCAGCGACTGTACCTTTACTTACACGTCGTCATCGTGTAGCTCGACTCAATTTTGCAATTGCGCATAGAGACTGGAATTACGCAGACTGGAGCCAAGTACTCTTTAGCGATGAATCTCGTTTTTGTCTCTATTCTCCAGATGGACGAGAACGAGTTTATCGTCGCCGTAAAGAACGATTTGCAGATTGTACTGTAAGTGAAAGGCATAGCTACAATGGAGGCTCTGTAATGGTTGGGCAGGTATTTCAGCATACACTTATACAGATTTGCACTTTTTTTGACAGAAACATAAACGCAGATGTATACGTGGAAGACGTACTCATTCCGTATGTTGTTCCGTATGCACATTTTATCGGAGATAACTTCTTGTTTATGCAAGACAATGCTCGACCACACATTGCGAGAAGAGTGCTTGATTTCTTTGATGAAGTTGGCATAAATCGACTCGTTTGGCCAGCAAATAGTCCAGATTTAAATCCCATCGAACATTTGTGGGACAATCTCGGCAAGAAAGTACGAAATCACGTACCTGCCTCTCAGTCACTGCGAGAACCTCAAAGAACTCTTCAAAACTCATGGGATGCAATTACGCACGATGAAATAAAAAAATTAATACAGAGTATGCCTGATCGCATGAATGAGGTCATACCCACTATTAATACACACATGCGTGCGCGCGTACACAAACACACACACACGCCACAAGGAGAGTTTGGAGTCTTTAAATACTGTGGAGTTGACGAACCACGGGGTCCTTATCCTTGTGGTATATAAACGAATACACACACACACACACGTAAATTAAATTAAAATTATGTTAATTATGTTCATTATAATAAAATTATGTTTTTTTAAACTGTTAAATAAAGGTTTCCGCTTTGCGCTCCAGTGCGTGGTGTAAATCAGGTATTGCAGCCCAATGGGACTAAATGCACGTAAAAGTGTGGAGTGTTACTTTTAAAATGCTTTTTTACCGATCTCGATACAATAATTATTCGCTGAGTTGCAAATTGAAGAAGAAAAAAAGCGTTTTGAATTGAATTTGGAATAATTCAATGAATAATTATCATATCGAGCTCAATAAAAAAGCATTTTAAAGGTAACACTCCACACTTTCACGTGCATTTGATCCCATTGGGCTGCAATACCTGATTCGCGCCGTACACTGTCCCAAACTCGGTCCTTTAATAATCAATTTTACATTCTCTCACTTCGTTATCCGCCAATTTAAAAAAATGGTTGAGCATAATTGGCACTTAAATATTCTTAAAGTGGACATTAAAACCTTCATTTTGCTTTTTTAAACATATTTTTATCATTATTATTTACCAAGTTATGGTTATTTAAAATTTGATGAATTTTCTCAAATTTTAAGTGTACCGCTTTTTTTGCGGCTGAGTGTATTAAATATTTCGTTTATTATTACGAATATCGCAAAATGGTATAAAACTTTTTTGCTCAATTTACTGTCCTCTACCTGCTCACGAGCGTTGGCACAAGTGCTCTGGGACACCCTGCATAATGCTTGCAAATCATTAGTTTTAGTCTTTTCGTGGCATCCTAGAGTGTGATTGACAACTAACATCAAAATTATTATTTATAAAATATCAAAATTAATATTTGCAAATATTATGGATAGAACACCTTTACAAAGAGCAGAATAAATTAATCTATATACTTTTAGCGACGTTCTTTTCTTATTGAAATGCATATCGAATGTATATATAGAATATAAAATTTTTGGTCACTCATCTTGTTATTATTGTTTTGTGAAATAACGTTTAATATTAATTAATTATATTTAACGTTTTGAAAATGTTAATGTTAACACTTCAAAACATAAAAGGGTAAACATTTATTTATATCTTATATGATATAATTGTATCAATATGCAGAAAGACTAAAACTTTTGTGTAGGATACCCCTAATATATTTTTATATGCATACTCACTCGTGTATAAAGTTTTATTATAAATAAAATATAATGCAACTTACCATTTGGATTTTAGTTATAAAAGGTTTAAGAAAATATATTTTTTGTTGATATTTCGGACCCCATGCAGAAACAAAATAATACATATACATAATTACGTGTATGCTACAATTAAATAGAGTAAGCAATAACACTCTCTTGTCCAGAATGTATTTTAAATAAAACCATCCGAAAAAAATATTAGAGACATGATGATAGACGTGCAAAGTGGAAACTTGATTCTGTTTCTTCCTCAACACAAATATACAGGTTTCTGTCAGATCGAATATCTTTAATATAAATAGCCACCACATAGAATTGAATATCTGAAACTCGACTTTGATAAAACCAAGTACATAAAGTGTTATTAAAAAAATAAAAAAATATTGCCTATGTAGAATGTGAATAATAACGAACAACAGGAAATATGTCACAGAAATTATTACAAAAATATCTGATTAAAAACTGAAATAAAAGAATTTTAGTATAATATTAAGTGAGAAAAATTATTTAATTGTGTAATAATTTATAGAATAATGATCTGCTAGATAATTATCGATAATAAATATAATTATATTAGTATAATATTTTCCTAACACTGTCTTAATTTTCTCTCTCTCTTCGAAATTGTAATTATTACGACTTATAAAATTTATATACCTGTAATTAATTATTTGTAAAAATTTAATGTGTGAACAGAAAAATTATCAAAGTTCTATTGAATCAAAAGTTTAATCTTAGAACTTCTTTTTTTTTAATAATTGAACTGCTGACAATTTCTTGAGTAGAATATAAGGCTACTCATAATCTTATATTCCATATTATCATATTTACTCTACTCGCTTTCATATTGTCTATTTTATATTCTCAGAAAAATAAGTTGTAAATAATTTTTAAATATAAATTTAAAAATTATTTACAACTTATTTTTCCGACAAACAATATAATCAATAACTAATGATAATATTACATATAATAAAAATATACTTTAAGCGTATTGGAAGAATGCGGAAATAGCTCTGAACACAATAGGGTATATTTTGAAAACCAGTCAGAAGATATAAATTCTTGTACCATCCATAAGTTTGCTAAAATTTGTATAAAGTTATAAAGCAACATTAAGGTTTTCAATTTATATGGCGTTCGACTTATCATATAGCGGGGTCCAATATAACGAATAAAATACAAATATCCAAAAATTATCATCATTAATGGAAATTGTGAAGATATTAATGGCCATTCACGACTTAACGGAGCTGTAAAAAATACAACATAGTTTTTAAAATAAAATATACAGTGTGCACAAACCCTATTTAATAAAATTTAAATAACATAAATTGCTATAAATAGCTCTCAAAATAAAAAAAATAGTAGAGTAAATGACAATACGAGCCTGGCACCGTACGTTAGGTGCAAAAAATCTTAATAAAAATGACAATTACTTATTTAAAGTTAACATCGTGAAATTTATTATTTATACAAGTAGACAAATGTTTTACATATAATCTCAATAATAATCGCGGACATTTCGAACATTTCTTAGGGCCATCTTTAGCGCTATAAAGTCTAAATTATCCCGCATAAAAAACAAAAATTAGAAAATAGAAAATAAAGGGTTATATCTACGCCGAGACAAATTTTCTATTAAAAAATCCGCCGGTCCGATAGAGTAATTAAAATCAAATCTCTAATTATCGTCATCATAGCGTCCAAACGATATTAAATCCCTCCAAGATTGATAAGCCAGGATCAGAAAAACACAGGACACCATAATAAGAAACTCATTAAAGTCGTATCATAAAATTTAAGAAATATAAGCAATAAATTATAACTGTAGTTACTCAAGAAATCAAAGTACATAACTAATTTTTATTACTCACAGTCGGTGAGTCAAGTTTTTATTGCGTTAATAGAATAACAAATGCTTTTTCACAATTAAGGTTAATGCAATAATAAAAGAGGGAGCAGTCTGAATTTGTGATAAAAAAACAAAAAATTTTTAATACGAGTTTTTTGGCTTCTTGCGTCACGTCATAACAATCTAAAAACTCACCTTTAAAAAAAGGTAAAAAAAGGCGACCAGTTAAGGGCACGCCATTAACAAAAATTATCCATTGCAAACCCATGTAGAATCCTATCCTATTGCAAACCCATGTAGAATCCTATGAAAAATTAATCATTGCAAACCCATGTAGAATCCTAGGCAAAATTAACCATTGCAAACCCATGTAGAATCGTACCCATTGCAAACCTATGTAGAATCCTATGAAAAATTAACCATTGCAAACTCATGTAGAATCCTATGAAAAATTAACCATTGCAAACCCATGTAGAATTGTATTAAAAATTATCCATTGCAAACTTATGTAGAATCCTACATTGCAAACCCATGTACAATAGAATTGTATGAAAAATTATCGATTATAAACCCATGTACAATCGTAACAAAAGTAATGAAATAAAAAAAAATTGCGCCAAGTGAAAGTAGAAACTTGTACCAGTGGAAAATTAAAGTTGCAGACATATATAGAGTCGTATAATGAATCAGTAAAAATTTAAATTTGCAAATGTAGAATCGTACCATAAAAAAACTTATCTTTTAAAAAAAAGATAAACAAGATGCCAAGTCCATGCGCCATGTGAAAAAGAAATAAAAAAATTTTAGTTAAAAAAACTGGGAGCGCTGCTAAATAAATTCTAACAATATTAAAATTAAATTGTTACTTTAAGCTCATTACAGTTAAAATATGTTTTGTGTTTAAATTAATTAATGTTACTTTAAGGTGCATTGTAATTTGAAACTTAGCAGCGCGCCCAGTTTTTTTAACTAAAATTTTTTATTTCTTTTTCACATGGCGCATGGACTTGGCATCTTGTTTATCTTTTTTTTAAAAGATAAGTTTTTTATGGTACGATTCTACATTTACACACCTTAAAGTAACATTAATTAATTAAACACAAACATATTTAACTGTAATGGGTTTAAAAGTAACAATTTAATTTTAATATTGTTAGAGTATTATTTAGCAGCGCTCCCAGTTTTTTTAACTAAAATTTTTTTATTTCTTTTTGTATATTTTTATGACCGGAATAGAACAATTATTAAACATGTTTATCTAAACTTCTTTGCTTAAAATGATGTGTACAATCATATCCTAGAATCCTGATCATTCCTCCTAAAGCACCCTATTTATATAAATTTACCCATATGCGTGTGTGTGTGTGTATGTGTGTGTGTGTGTGTGTGTGTACTAATGTCGAGCATTTTTTATACATTTTCTATTAAATTTAGATAAAAGTTGCAGGATTTCGAAAAAGAAAAAGTTGACACAGACTTTTTCCTAAACGGCGATTTTCAAGGTTATTTAAAGGTCACTTATATTTTCAAAATAGAATTACCTTAATTTTTCTCATATAAATCGATTCCTCGCAATATTTACTATAAAAAGTTGTAAAGGTATAATTTTTACATAATCTTACATAAACTTCGAAATATTACAAATATTTTATTTTATGAAATATTTCAGTTTATGTAAAATTATGTTAACTATCTTTTAAATTATTCACTTTTAGCCATCTTACCCTTACAACCTTTTATAGTGAATATTGCAACAAATTGGTTTATATATATAATATATATATAACATCAGTTATTATTAATTGATGTTTACATTTATTTTTAGACTTACTAGAGCTCAAATGCTCCACATTTTTTGCAAAAACTGTTTATTCTACAGATTTCAAATATGCTTTTAAATGATGATTGAATATTTCCTTTTTTTAATTATTTTTATTATTATTTTTCAATCTCAATCAACTTTTATAACTTTATGCCAGCACGATACAAATACATGTGTCTTTATTTTTTTTATTATTTTCATTATTATTTTTCAATCTCAATCAACTTCTATAACCTTATGCCAGCAGGATACAAATACATGTATGTCTTTATTATTGTATCAACTCTTGTCTTTTCCATGTAACCATGTCTTCATAGTTTGAATTATCCCTTCATCTTCTCAATCTTTCGCAGAGATTTAATTAATTAAATACACTTCACACGAAATAAAGTTTGCTGGAAGATATACAGCAAACGATAACTGTAAAAACATGATTACGTGGAAAGAACAAGAGTTGGTACAGTAAAGGCAAGTAAGTAAGTACATGTAATGTATCGTATTGGCATAACGCTATATCCGCGGAGCAGATAATGTGGCTGTAGAGGTAGTCTGCAGTGCAGCTAATGTGGACGTAGATGTTGATTGAGATAATTGTCTAATATAAAATAGAATTTAAAAATTTAGTTTAAAAAGCTGTTGCATATATAAATAAAGTTTATTTTTTCTAAATTTGGAATATGTTTAATTAATTAATTTTTTAAGTCTATGTTTAATAAATTTTTTAAGTCTGTATTCAATAATTTTATTCATTTGATAAATACATGTATGTCTTTATTTTGATATGTTTAATATAATTAGAAATTCATTATTAATTAGATATGTAAACTATAAATTCATATATAATATTTGAAAATATATGTGAATATTTAAATTTTTATCTTCTCCTTCCTCTCCTTCAATCTCTTTAATATCAATATGTGTATGTGTGTACACGCGCGCACATTTGTACGTATTTATTTAATTATTGGATAGTTGAGAGTACTTAATTGATAAAAAATTATGACAATAATAATCCTTTTTTTTTTTTTCTTATTTACTCAGATTTTTTTGTCTATCTTATAAGATAAACACTTTAGAGATTGAATATTTCAAGTAAACTAATTGTAAGTAAATTTCACATTAATGCATATAGATGTTTAATCATGAATGTACTAAATAAGTACACAAGACGAACAGTGAGTGAGTGAGTGAGAATGAGAGAGTGTGTGTGTGTGTGTGTGTGAGAAAGAGAGAGAGAGAGAGAGAGAGAGAGAGAGAGAGAGAGAGAGAGAGAGAGAGAGAGCCAACATAACCCCGCACGCTGCCGATATGGCGGAGCGCCACTATCGCCATCTGTTGTAAAACGTGCGAGATGGACAAAATTACCACTACATGCATTTTGCATGCATGGTTGTGTACGTGTGATATATGTGTGCGCATGTGTTGTATACGTGTGAATACGTGTAGCACGATACTACTATGTATGCGTGGTCGATGATGATGATAATAATGATGACGGGGACGTTTCTTAATAGAAATTTTTCATATTTCGACTTTGCATTTATATATCTCTGCTTACAAATCACGTAGAGCAGAAATAAAGACACTTTTATTATATAATTCGAACTCAATCTATCGATTAAGTCTAGTATAAACTCGATTGCTTCAGCCATTATTGAGGATTCGAAATATTATAAAGACTCAAATGTCCGACTCGCGTTAAGATACACGGTGTCTCCGCTACGCCCTTAACTGGTCGCGAGACACTACCGTGTCTCTTGATGTATGGAGTAGCATCGGCACCGGCGATATGGCAGAGAACGATCAAAAATATTTTGAAAAATATTCCAGATATTACTGTTTTTCTGGACGATATTAAGATCGCAAGTGTAAACGTCGAAAAACATTTTGAGATTTTAGAATTAGTCTTGAGTCGTTATCAAAATATAACATAAGAATAAATTTAGAAAAATGTGCATTTTTGAAAAATCAAATTTTGTACTGCGGGCACATCATCGGAAAAGATGGTATAAAAAAGGAGAAAAAGAAAATGGAAGTAGTAGAAAAGCTGCCAAGACCCAAGAACGTATCCGAAGTCCGAGCGTTCATTGATTTAATAAATTATTACGGACGATTTATAAAAAATATGAGTAGCATGTTGAAACCATTAAATGACTTGTTGAAAAAGAATTTAAATGGACTTCAGTTTGTGAAAGGGCGTTTAATAGCGCAAAACAAGCTTTCTGTAATGATAAAATTCTAGTGTCGTTCAATCCAAATCTGCCAATCGTTTTAGCTACGGATGCTAGTCCATATGGAGTCGGAGCCGTATTATCGCATGTTTATCTAAACGGAACAGAGCGAGTAATAGAATACACTTCGAGCACGTTAAATGATACGCAAAGAAAATATACACAGATCGATAAAGAGGCGTATGCCATTATTTTCGGAGTAAAAAAATTTCATAATTTTCTATACGGTAAACATTTCATTTTACTCACGGATAATAAACCGTTAACGCAAATTTTGAATCCTGGAAAAGGCTTACCGGCGTACAGTGCAATGCGGATGCAGCACTACGCGGTTTCCTCCAGGGTTTTGATTTTGATATAAAATTTAGAAAAACTGAAAATCATGGCAACACTGACGGATTTTCGCGACTACCAATAAAACAAAATAATAGGGCGAAGTATGATGTGCTAGACGTGTATACTGTTGATACATTAAATATGCTACCTGTTAAAGCAAATGAAATTCAAACAGAAACGCGTAAAGATGAGAATCTCTTAAAAATAGTTGAATCTCTGGAACAAGGCAAATGTTTAAAAAAATTTGGGTTGCAAAACCACGAATTCGCGTTAAATAACGGAATTCTGTTAAGAAAAGATAGAGTTGTAATTCCAGAAAAATTCAGAAATAAAATTCTTAAAGAATTGCACTTAGGCCATATAGGCATTGTTAGTTTAATAATCGTTTATGTCCCGGGTTCTTATGCACCGGTGCAGGCGAGGATCTGTGTGTGTCAGTGGGTAAATAATCAAAATCGGTTTAATATGAGAACTGTTATAAATGCTGCGTTTGAGTTCGCTACAGAATATTCGCGGTATACATCCGCACGCGACAGCAGTCGGAAACCGAATCTCCTGATCGCGCGTTACATTTCCTCTTGTCGCCTATCTTCTTGACATTCGAGAATCTTCTCACCTAATCTTTTTCACTCGTGTTATTATTCTTTTTTCTGTCTCAATGCTAGTTGTCAAACGTCTCGTCTGTTATGTTTTCTCTTTACTGGTTTATTTTGTCTCGTTTTTGTTTTCGTCCTTTTGTATGTCTCTACTTATACCCGGGGAATATGTGACGATATTATCGCCACATTAGAATGAAAGCCCTAGCGAGAAACTATGTTTGGTGGCAAGGAATAGATTTAGAAATTGAAAAAACTGTTCGTAGTTGTAAGGAATGTAGTCGCGTTCAAAATAATCCGAAGCCGGCGCCATTGCATCATTGGGAGCCTACTGAGGAAGCGTTCCAAAGAATCCATATGGATTTTGCAGAACCATTTGCAGGTTATAATTTTCTAGTTTGCGTAGATGCGCATACTAAATGGCCTGAAGTTTATGTAATAAATAATATTACTGCTTCAAGTACTATTGAAAAATGTGAAATTTTTGCTAGATTCGGTATTCCACGAATGCTAGTAACAGATAATGGTAGAACATTTATATCACAAGAGTTTCAAAATTTTATCAAAGCAAATGGGATTATCCATAGACTGACAGCTCCTTATCACCCGGCTACCAATGGTGCAGCGGAAAGATTCGTACAAATATTGAAACAATGGTTGCGTAAAACAAATTTAGAAAATAAAATGTAAATGCAGCAGTAGGTATACTAGGGGGGTTCTAGACCAGGTCCTCTGAGGGGGGTGCGGGGCGGGGGGGTATGACGTCACGCGGGCGGGGAGTCTTATCAACAGATAAGCTTATCTATGTTTATAAACAAAAGATAAACAATATCTATTACAAAGGGCTGCCGACAATCAGGGGGGGGGGTTGCGTTTTTTCTCATACGTTTATGTTTATAAACAAAAGATAAACAATATCTATTACAAAAGGGCTGCCGACAATCGGGGGGGGGGGGGTTGCGTTTCTTCTCATACGTTTATGTTTATAAACAAAAGATAAACAATATCTATTACAAAAGAGCTGCCGACAATCAGGGGTAGAGGGGGGGGTTGCGTTTCTTCTCCTTATACGTTATCTGTATATTTCTAAGAAATATAATCAAATTCTAAGAAGGGCCGCTTGGATCCAAGCGCCGACAATCAGTTCTCTGAAAATCTAAGATAATCAAATTTTAAGAAGGGTCACCGCTTGGCATACGCCGACAATCAAGAGGGTTGATACATGATCTATACATATATTTCTAAGAAATATCAGCGGGTAAAGTTTCAGGGCGAACGTGTCATCGCTTGCGGCCTGCGACATGTTTTTGCATGGGATTGTATATCACCTTCGCGGTACCTCCCCAATAAGCGGCGGTTCTTTATTGTTTATCTTAGGAAGAAATACCAGCGCCGATAACCAGCGGCTGCAGGAATTTATAAACAAAACAAGCGCCGAAAATTTACGTCATCTAAATTTTTCTCGTTCGTACGTTGACGAACAAAGGGTTGATTGGGATATATAACGAGGACCGATGCCGCTGCCGGGCCATAGTACCACTGGCGAGCGCATGCTTTCCTTAAGGAAAAATAGCTGTGAGAAAAAGTTTAGTGTGCAATTGAAGTAGTTTATTCTGTGCAGTACAAGCGAATTTTTTACAAAAATGGAGAACGCAGAACATATTGAGCGCGACCTGTTGGAGCGTTCCCACCAAGTCGCCACCTTGGGCGAATATTCGGATGGCTGCAAGAGTGCGAACGGTTTATCGAAGAGCTGGAAGAACGCAGCCGTGCCAAGCGTCCGCGTCTCTCGATTGGACATAGACAATCTCTCGTGGCGAGAATAGCGCAACTCGAGGGTGCGAAGGTGCGCTTGCAGAGACAGTATGTCGGTGAATCCATGTTTAGTGGTGGATCCATACCTAGTGGCAGCGGCGGCGGATTTAGTGGCGGTGGCAATAACGCGCAAAGACTCGTTTGGCGCGAAATCGATACGGCGTTCGATAGCCGTATACTGACCGGTGCGGTAATTAACGCAGACTATATCGAACCGCGTCAATTTTTGAAAAATGCCAAAGACATTGTAGTCGAGAACGTGGAGAATGTGCTACAAAGACACGCCAGTGTAAAAGTGAACACTGTTTTCAACGGCGAATTTGTGTCCGGTGACAAACGTGCCAATAAAAGTATCAATACGAGAAACTTTGAACTCTTTCGCACGTCCGATGTACGCGAGTGGTACGAGCGCCGCGTAATCGAGCCCACGCTAGCATCGCTAGAAAAGTTCCAGGAACGCGATAGCGGCTGGGCATTGTCGCGGATAATAGATTTGACAGTAAATATCAACAAGTATAATCCTATGCGCGCGGGATGTCGTATCACATTACCGCAAAAAATTGTAACAAAGAGAGCGGTTGTTAATGTGCGATCAGCGGACAATGCGTGTTTCGCATGGTCAGTGGTGGCCGCTCTGTACCCCGCTGATATACATGTGGATCGGAATCCTCCTATCCGCATTACACCACAGTGCTGAATCTCCAAAACATTGAGTTTCCAGTGACTGTGAATCAAATTAAAAAATTCGAACTTGCAAACGACATCTCCGTAAACGTGTACATCATCGAGAACGAGAACATCGTCCCGCTACGTCTTTCGGAAAAAAGAAGGACAGACATGTCAATCTGCTGTACGTGGAAGACGAAAACAGCGTCGGGCATTTCACATGCATTAAAAATCTGTCTCGTCTCGCGGGCTCACAACTGAGCAAAAAGAAATGTAAAAAATTTATATGCGATCGGTAGGTATATATATATTTATTACACGTAAATTATATTTTAATTAAATTTTCATTAAATTTTTTTTTTTTTTACAGATGCCTACATTATTTCGGAGCGGCGGATAAATTGCAGGCGCATATGGAAAATTGCGGGAAACTGAACGACTGCGCTATTCGGTTGCCGAGCGAGAATGACAAGTGGCTCAGCTTCGACAACTACACGAGGAAGGAGCGGCTGCCGTTTGTAGTGTACGCCGACCTCGAATGTGTTTTGGCAAAGACCGAAGATGCCAAAAATCATCAACATCATCAAGTGTTCAGCATCGCATACTATGTACAGTGTTCGTACGACAGTTCGTTGTCCGCGTACAATTCCCGCCGTAGTGTCGATTGCGTCGCATGGTTCGCCGAACAGCTTAAAAATTTAGCAATCCGCGTAAAAAATATTTTAACGACCAATGTCCCCATGGTAAATTTAACGCCTGACGAGTGGTTAAAATTTTGCACCGCGACGCATTGTCACATTTGTGAAAAACCGTTTGACGAAGACGATACACGCGTCCGCGATCATTGCCACCTCACCGGGCAGTACAGGGGTCCTGCGCATTCAAATTGTAACTTAAATTACAAAGAATCATTTTGTATCCCTATAGTCTTTCACAATCTGTCTGGCTACGACGCACATTTTATTATCGAGGACATAGCCACAGCGTTCGAAGGGGAAATCGAATTACTGCCGATAACAAAGGAAAAATACATTTCATTCTCGAAGACTGTTAGATTGACACAAGATAATAATTCGAAAAATTATATTAAATTACGCTTTATCGATTCGTACAAGTTTCTCAGCGCTAGTCTCGACAAATTAGCGTCATTTTTGGATAAAGAAAAACTAAAAATTTTACATTCGAAATATCAAAATTTAACTAGTGAAAAATTCAATTTATTGACACGGAAGGGCGTCTTTCCGTACGAATACATTGACTGCGTGGACAGATTACAAGACACACGTTTACCGCCGCGCGACTCATTTTACAGTTCCTTAACCGGCGACACAGTATCCGAGAGTGATTACGCGCACGCCGAGACCGTCTGGAGCCGATTCTCCCTTCGAACGCTAGGCGAATATAGCGATTTATATTTAAAAATTGATGTCTTGTTATTGGCCGATATATTTGAGAATTTTCGCGATAGTTGTATAAAAAGTTACGGACTCAATCCCGCGTATTATTATACTCTCCCCGGATATACATGGGACGCCATGTTAAAACATACAAATATAAAATTTGAATTATTAACAGACATTGACATGGTAATGTTTGTCGAACGAGGTATACGCGGCGGCCTTAGTCAATGTTCAAGTCGATACGCACAGGCAAATAACAAGTACATGCAATCATACGATCCATCGAAACCCTCATCGTACCTCATGTATTTTGATGTAAATAATTTGTACGGATGGGCAATGTGTCAACCATTGCCATATGCCGATTTTCGGTGGGTCGACGATATATCGAATTTTGACGTATCATCTATCGCGTTCGATTCACCTATAGGCTATGTTCTCGAAGTAGATTTAGAGTATCCGCAGTATCTTCATGACGCGCACATTGACCTACCGTTTTGACCGACGCGCGATAAGCCGCCCGGCAAGCGGGAGTATAAACTCCTAGCAACGCTTTACGATAAGAAGCGCTACGTAATACACTATCGTAATCTGCAGCAGTGCACGCGCCACGGGCTACGCATAACAAAAATATATCGCATACTACAATTCACGCAGTCAGCGTGGCTTCAAAAATACATCGAACTCAAACACAGTTTAGAACACAAGCGAAAAACGATTTTGAAAAAAATTATATAAATTGATGAATAATGCGGTATTTGGCAAGACGATGGAAAATGTGCGCAATCATGTGGATGTAAAATTATTAACAAAATGGGACGGACGGTACGGTGCGGAGGCAATGATCGCGAAACCAAATTTTCATAGTACTAGCATATTTTCGGAAAAATTAGTTGCCATAGAATTACGCAAACTCGAAGTTAAATTCTACAAACCAATCTACGTTGGCATGTGCATACTCGACGTATCAAAAGTATGTCTTTATGAATTTCACCACGAATACATGTCACCGCTCTATCGTGACAATTGTAGAGTAATGTACACCGACACGGATAGTTTAATATATTATATCAAATTAAATGTCAGGATGTCTATGAAAATTTGAAACGCGACATCGCTCGATTCGATACCAGCGATTACGCCGCGAATAATGAGTACGGTATACCGCTCGCGAATAAAAAGGTGCCGGTCTGATAAAAGATGAGAATAACGGCGCGATAATGACCGAATTCGTCGGGCTTAGAGCAAAAATGTATGCTTTGCGGGTGGATGGTAAAAAGGACACTAAAAAGGCAAAAGGTGTCAAAAGTAACGTCGTAGCGCGTAGTATAACATTCGACGATTATACACGCTGTCTTAATGACGAGATTGAAATGACGCGTCAACAGTCATGTATAAGATCGAAATTGCATAAAGTGTATACCATCAGCGAGACGAAAATTGCTCTAAGTCCCTACGACGACAAGCGGTATGTCGTACCTGATTCGACCGACACCTTGCCGTGGGGACATTATCGAATACCATTGTAAATAATTATATTGTAAGGACGTATTAATGAGAATTATATATATTTTTGTTATATATTTCATATATTTCATATATGTTATACAATATATTATGTTATACAATGATTGAATAAAATACATTAAATAACATTGTTTTTATGTATCCAAGAGTTGTGCGAACTGTCGAATCCCAGCCATTTCACATAAACCTCGTCACCCTCCCTGCGCAGTATTTTCTCCACGAGGTACACATCCGGATAATTTGCACGATGCAGCTCATGCTCGTAAAACGCTCCAGCGATAG